TTAAATATACTGTGTTATCTTTATGATTATTGTTCCTAATGGTTTCTTACAGCATGCCTGCATTTTTTCCAATGATTTCCTGTAGTGACTCTAAAAATGATCTTTTTTGGTTGCAATTATTATTTTTAATCATTACTTGAACTTCATATATTGACATCTCCCTTTAACTTCTTTATTATTTAGGACCAGGCTTCTGTGATATTGTCAGAAATTTTACTCTTCAAAGCCAAGATGTAGAGTCCCAGGGGCGTCCAACATTTTGGCGTCTCTGGGCCACACTGGAAGAAGAAGAGATGTCTTGGGCCACACATTAAATACACAAACACTAAAAAAAAACTGATAAGCAGAAATAAAGATTTTAAGTAAATTTACAATTTTGTGTTGGGCCGCATTCAGAGCCATCCTGGGCCAGATGCGGCCGGTGGGCTGTGGGCTGGGCACCCCTAGGCAGTTGTTTTTCTCTCTTTCTATCTTAGTTTTAAGCTACCAGCCTCATAATTATTTCCTATACTATTTCCTACATTATGACATAAAATGCAAATGACAAACCTTGGTATTATTTTTCCAGTACATATATATGTTTTTCTTATGGTTGGTTTTTAACTTTTTGCAAAACTTTTGTTAATTATTTTTAATATTTAAAGTGTTATGTAAATATTGACCCTTTGTATATTGTAAGTGTATTTTCTAACTTCAGCTTCACTTTCGATGTTCTCTTGACTCAATGACAAACTTGTCTTTACCACTGTTTTTTGATCTACTGTTTTGTGTATTGGGTTTTATTTGCTAAAATGATGGGATTAGCTAGATTAGAAATAATTTATCCCTACTTCAAAACTACTAATCCAAGTTAGAATGAGTTACATTCCTTATTTTGGTTGTGTTAACTGGCGTGGACCTGGTGTGAAAACAAAAGGCTTTCTCTCCAACTATGATCAGTGTTATTAATTTTTATAAACTAAGAATTCCCCCAGAAATACTAACTTGTCTAAATCAGAATGTTTTAGGAGCTATTAAGGGGTGCTACCAGATTATGTAAGGTTTAGAATGAATTACTAAGAAATCCTATGGATGCTGTTATTCAGTAATACATTTTTATTTTAATGTTTGACTACGGAATTATTTGTATTAAGTTATAACTTCAGAGTAGCACCAAACACTGTTTTCTTCCCCACCCGAATCTCCCCTGCAACATCCTGTCAATTAGCTGCAAACACGTTTGTTTTTAAATGCCACTCAGAAGCTTCTAATGGAATCGTGTGGCAAAGTGAAGAATCCTTTTATGTACATAGTACAGATGTGTCAGAACCATTTGTGGCTTCGTTTACACACATGACAGAACTACCAGCCCTGAGTGGCTCAGCTGAAAGTTCCAGTTTAAATCATTCTGCTAAGAGGGCGGCCACCCCTGGCAGATGTCAGGAAGGAAAAATAATCAGCAGAACCATCTTTGAAAAGCAATTTTAGATCATTAAAGATATATGAGTTTTGACAAAGCAAGAAGATTTGAGGCTTATTAAGAATATGTTAGATCTCCACATTGAAAGGAGAGAGTATTTGTGCTTCTGTTGAGGAGGGAAGGGGTTGCGTAATTGTAGCCGTGTGAAAAAGAACAGGGACCGTAGAAGACTCTGTCCTCATCCTGACTGCTCGTTCCTGCAAAGCTTTTATGAGAAACAGAGCCCATTGCCATATGCATCCTGAAAAGAAACAGGATCTCAGAACAGCCTGTCCTTGCCAGTGGACTGACTGTCCGCACGATACGCCATTGTCCACCTGGCATGGAGTTAAAGACTACGGGACTGACCCTTTTAAATAACATACTAAATTTGCTCCGTTTGCTCAAGGATTCTCCATTTGGTTTTCCTGCTTATTTATTAACCATGATAATTTGACAGTTTATAAATATGCGAGTAACTCAAGAGAGAAGGTGCAGAGCGCAGGACGTCTGTGGGCTTGCCCCCCAGGTCAAAGAAAGCTCCAGAGCTTACAGAAATGGCTTCCCCAGGGCCTTGTGGCCTTCTCTGCCCTTCCCCTGTGTAGCATTTCTGAAACTGTTCTGTTAAAAACAAACTTTCAAAAACACTGAATTGTTTTCTCACCACCCCCCCCCCACCAAAAAAAATCAAAGTCTGATTATTTGTAGATCTCACAGTTGTAAATTTCCAAAGTCCTGTAGCCATAAAGCATTGATTCCACCTGCATCGACTCTCTGGTGGGCGCACTCTAAGCAGCCCGTGAAAGGTAGTGCTAGTGGCCCTGCATGCGTTCCTTGACAACGCGGAGCATTTCCTGGACTCTGACTGCATTTGCTAAAACGTGAACGCGTTGCCTTTTTGGAAGCTCTAAAGTACCTCTCTGTCGTGTTATGTGAGTCTTATGTCAGCTGCGGCTACTCGATTTGCATGTAAATTCTGAAAATTTCCTTGTCCCATGTGACACTTCTGAAATGTCTGTCTGTTCTTTTTTTCCTTTTTAATTTCTCAAGCTCACTATTTGGATAAGATAGTTAAAGGTACTGTATACTTGCTCTTTGTTGACATGTCTACATATATATTATATAAGTGTATCAGATTGCACTAGGTATGAAAATAGACTGTTTTTCATGCATATTTTTATAAATAATAAGTCAGGCTTACATCATGTGAAATGCCTTGGATTTAAAATATTGAGACTTAAATGTCTGTGTCTCATTTCTATAATTTTGGGTTATCACAGATTCCATTCCTATGTAAAAGGGCCCCACCGGGACCCCAAACTGAAGATAACAGTACATTTGCTGTTTTTTGTTCTTTTTTTATTTATTATTTTTCATTTTTGTTCCAAGATCTTCATTGTTGGCAATTCCGCTAATGAGCATTAAATGCTAAATTAAAGAACCGCAATTGCTCACTCTCTTATCACAGAATAAGAAATTGCCAATCTAAAGAAGATTTGAGTTAACATATGTTGAGAGCAATCTCATTGATCCTCATATGAAAACTTCTTTGGCTTTTTCTAAATGTTTCAAAATTCATGTGATATCATAATCTGTTTTGTTATTTTCTAAAAACTACAAAAATATTGTACATTCTATAAAATAAACAGTAACTACTGCTCAGCAGAAAACAGCAGATTCTCATGTCTTCAGTTATCGTAGAAATAGGTGAAAAATACTTTTTCAGAACATCCCTTTCCCTTTCTCCTCCGAGTACTTATTTTCTATTTTTTGTTTGTGCTTTTCATTAGAATATGCAAATATTCATGGCAATATCCAGGCTTTTTTTAAATAATAATTCCATGTATATGCAGTCAGCTGCTTCACCTCTTTGTCAGTGGGGCAGTTTAATCGTTCTTTTTTGTTAAAAACAAAACAAAAACATCCATAAAGAAAATTCACCTTTTATGTATTGAATAATCCAGAAAGGCAGACAGTAATTGTCTGAAAGAAGCGGCAAAATTAATCCCATCTTGACCTGATGGTATCCATAAGTATAATTTTATTATATCCTGCCTCAAGAGACTGGCAAAATCTTCTTTCTGTTAACGCTAATCTTAAGAGACAGAATGTCTCTTGGCGATACTTTCAAGTTTCGCTGTGGAGGAGGGGAAGCCAATATATGAATAATTCTTTTAACACAGACTTAAAATAAACATCTTTAAACAGATTGTCCCCTTAAATTTCGTCCCCAAAACGAGAATAGCATTCTAATTATAAGAAGCTGTATAACAAGCCCCAATTGCTATAGCCAGTATATTTACTAATATATACTTTATACCAAATTATAAATAATGCTATCCAAAGAGATCTGATTTTTAACCAATTATTCTCACCGCGTTAGAGCATTTATGTCCTTGTTTCTCTCAGTGTCACATCAAACTCATAGACACGACCACCAGAATCTACCCAAGCGTCATCCTCATAAACAGGTCATGTTGGCTGCATGCCAGAATATCATCATTAGAAAGGCGCAAAAATTGTTTTCTTTAAATGTCATGTTAGACTGAAACAATTATAGATTTTGGGTCTATTAAATTATTTTAATTGTTTCCCAAATTTTCCCTTCTTGCCCATAAAAGCAGACAAGATAGGATATAAAGGTAACAGCCTAAAAGCCTTAGGGAGATTGTCACCAAATACCACTTCTCGCTACCTGTCTTGAAGCACGTCACTACCGTGTTTTTGTTCAGTCTATCAATGTTTTATTGTGGTCCTTATGGTATTTCATTTTGTCCGTCCTGAGTAACCAAATATGCACAGCTATTACATTTAGTTGGAAATCTTGTCGGTCCTCTCCCATCCGTATGCAGCCTGAACCCTAATGTTTGTTAGAATAGACGCTAAGCTGCTTCACTATCTCCTGGGCTTTGCTTATTCTGTGACAAGGAATGTACTCCCGGCATAAAGTATAGTCATTAATACTGGCCTATACTTTGTGCAATGACTTAATGCACTGTAATTTCACATGAATATACGGCAACTCTGGGGCCAGATAAAATTAATGTTCTCTTTTTAACATCACGCATAGCCTCATCCCCACTACCATGCTCTTGAATTTAGAGGGAATTTTTTAAAGCAACAAGGTGCTTTAAGAAGGCACGTCCCAACGAGTGACCAGTAATGTTTACAACAGATTAAAAATCTATACCAGGGATTCTGAAATTACCACGTGGAGATGCTTCTTCACACCATGCAATCAACCAATCAACCTTGTTGCTTTGCTAAAGGAAAGAAAAATTAAGTTAATTTTGTCTGGCCCGCAGCTATTTAGTGGGTTGTTGCATATATTTCTGTCCTGCCCAGGTAAGTGGTGTCTCAAGGGTCAGGCCAATCAAAGATGCCACTTGGAGAAGAATTAGATTCCTTAGATAATGTTGCTGTTTCTATCCATGTGCAATTACAGTATTTGTGCTGTTGACAAAGGCCTGTTCCCACTCAGTGTCCCGTATCTGTTGACTGTAGGTGCAGCAAAAACGTCCAGCACTCAAATCCCTCGTGTTCTCCTTGTGTCTTTTGGCAGAGGGCTGTCCGGGTCTGTGCAACAGCAACGGCAGGTGTACCCTGGACCAGAACGGCTGGCACTGCGTCTGCCAGCCAGGGTGGAGAGGCGCAGGCTGCGACGTGGCTATGGAGACCCTCTGCACGGACAGCAAGGACAACGAAGGAGGTAGGGCACCTCGGGCGTGAAAACAGCGGTGGGCCAGAGCACAGGTGTCTCAGGTGCAGCAAGGACGTCGCTCTCCGTTGCCCCCCAAAACTCAGATCCCCATGGACGGGGCTGATTGAAAAGTGCATGCTTGCTGATAGAGCGATTGCATTCCCTGTTGTCCCTGAGATTGCTACCATCCAGGGAAAAGGCAGGGTGACCAGGCCGCGGGGTGATGTGCCCTGTTCTCCGTCCTTTCCCGACCTCGGTGATGATCGTCCGCCCCTGCAGGACGCAGGCCCCTGAGAGCTAGGAGCTCTAAGGCAACAGCTGAATTCCTCAGCAGCCTGACAGATCCCAGGCTGCTTCCAGGCTCTTCTGTGGAAAGGCCTGCGTGACGACGCGCAGCAGTAGCAAACAGCAGGCCCTGGAAGCTGCCCTTCTGCTCTTTCCATCCTCAGCCTTATGCCCTGAGATATAGATTCTGACCCTCCACCCAAAGGAAGCCCCGGGTTAAGAAATGACCCCCTTTCCCTGCGCGCACCCCCCGGCCCAGCGCTGCAGCTGAGGCACAGAGACTGGAGAACCAGAGCAGCTGGCCAGCGGCTGGTCAGTCGGGCGTGTCTGTAGGACTAAGCGTTAGAGAGGCTTCCGCTCCCAGCTGGGCATCTGTGGTCACTGCGGGTGGCGGTGTGTCTCCCGCTCCCTCCTTCATGTCGCCTGCTCTTTGGGACCGTCCACATGGGTGATGGAGTGGCTGGTAAGAGGGCAGGATTTGGGAGCAGATCTTCACTCCGGCTCGTCCTGCTTACGTGACCTCACACAAGATTCTGATCTCTCTCAACTTCAACTGCTTCACCTGCGAAAGAGGAATAAAAGAGGCTTTGAAAGGATTAAGGGAGGGAGTGGAGGTAAAGCACTTAGCCTGTTGCCAGGCACAACATGCATTGTATGGAGCGGCTATTATTACCCGATTATCTGTCTTTTGCTTTCAAAAGTACTCATTTGACTAATTGCAGTTCATACAGTGTTGTCGGAGAAGATGGAACAGTGTTTCCCTCTCCAGAGAGGACCTGACTCCTGTTCTTTGGGAAGCAGAGGGACCAAAACCAACCCTCAAGCTTTCCTGTCACCCCACACGCACACATGCGCGCATGCACACACACACATTTGTGCATGTGCACGAGCGGTGCACATGTGTGTGAATACACGCGCACATGGACGTGCATGCATGCACGTAGGCAGCCCGGGCCCACAGCCATTCTCAGACCAAATGTTCATGGTGTCTCATCTTCCTAACAAGCAGCTGCAATTCTTCCCTTGAGTTTTGAACAGACTTCACTGTTTTCACAGTTTTCTTTTCACCTGGACTATCAAGAAAAGTGAGCCCCAAAGTCTGAGCTAAAGCCTCCTTTGCTTCCTGCTGCTGGCGGACCGGGGAGGTTGTCCCCGCCTCCTCTGAACCGCGTGTGGTAGGACGGGTAGCAGTAGCCCTCCCAAGCCACTGCCCAGACGGCAGCTTTCCTCGTCACTATCCCTGAAAGCCCCTGCACCACTGTTTTCTGCTGCCGCCCTTCCTCCCTGGGCAGATATTTCGGAGTTTGTCTTCTGGAAGGGGGTTGCATCGAGTAGGTCACAGGCTCTCTCGTAGGGAAGCCACCTGCAGGGCCACGTCTGCAGAGACGCTGAGGAGTCCTGTACGGGCTAATCAACTCTTCAGTATTGTGATCGGCGAAAGAGGCTTTTCCCTTTCCTCAGAATTTATCATCTGTGAATTGGCCTCCTTCCCCCTTTGTTGATTCTTATTAGCATGGAACTGTGCAGTCTAGGCTTCCCTCTCCTGGGGGAAGCTGAGCTGATGGAAGACCTCCTGTGGTTTCTCGGCTTATTTCATATCATTTGTATTCCTGTCCCAAACCCAATTTTGTTGATCTTCTGAGAAGGAATCTCAGCAGCTCCTTCGAGGCTGTAAACTGGGTGCCTAATAATCTGATCTAGACGGCTTCTTGGGACAAAAGCTGGGCTGTGGGTACAGAGACGATGTTCTCCCCCTCAAACCCCCAGTCAAGACACACATCTGACAGTGAAGGACAGCGTGGTCATTATATGAGGATGACAGAACAGACTGTTTTAAAATAAGAGCAACCCCTGAAATTCTACGCCGTACGGTAAACTGTACCACTCATTGACCCATTGTCCAAGGTCCATCTGGTGTCAGAACGGTGAGTGAGCGAGAGCACAGCTGAGGAATCTGATTCAATGCACCGAGTAACTAGAGGGGAGAAGAGAACAAAGAGGCTGGCCTGGCTCTCGTCAGAAATTAAACACGCCGTATAAACAGCTGCTCGTCTAGTCTGAGCTACTGTGCAGAACACAATCTTTGTAAAAAGGGAAAAAAAAAGAACAAAGAAGGTTGCTTACTCTTCCCAGAACTGAATGAGGTAGATAAAAAAATTTTGGTAAGAACAACTACATATGGAGGAAGAGTTAAGTATGTGTTCTTAGAGCGAGCATCTCCCTTCCCTTGTAAAGCAAACTTCCCTTTACCAAGTCCAGTGCCCCCCATGTCCACTGTCTAAGCCTAAAGGTCCTCAAAATCCACATCTCAGTGACTAGATGTCCCTCTTTGCCTATAGATCCCCGCCTCCCCTTTCTGTCTCGGAAATGCTTAAGGAAAAGCAGGCTCACGAGGGAATTCTCTCTGAGCAGTAGGAGGCACAATAAAGTAGACGGGAGGGACTGGTTTGTAGCCATTCTCTTAACACCTCCGCAGTCCTACAAAGTGAACCTCCTGGGCAGTTGGTCAAATAAACAGCTGTCGTGTACAGAGGGTCACTAGTTTTCCAGAACTAAGGACAAGCCTGTACCTACAGTGAAGGCCCTGACCACGATCCCCACGCTGTGTGGAATCAGCAAGGCGCCTCCCCCTCTGTTCGTCAGATGTAGCTCGAGGTGTCAGACAGAGGCTGCTGGGGCCGATTGCTTGGACAACGGCAGGCAGTGCAGTAGCAGATTTCTAAATCCCACTTCGTGCGACACGAAGTCAGTGGACCAGATAGTCGCAGATGCTGTCTCCCAAGGGGCATGGAGACACTGGGTACAACTCCTAGATGTTCTGTGGTCGGTGAGGAAGCTTTCAGAGCAACGATTGTCAGTACGTGCCCAGACGTGGCTTATAAACATTTCCCCTCCAACTCCCTCTTCACCCACAGAGCCAGCCTCCCCCTAGACTGAGCCATTTCTGGCTCAGATCCCAGAACTCCCCTGATGGCGAAGTCGCCAAGAGCAGAGAGAGGATAGGGGAAGAGTAGAGAGCTGGTCACTACTAGGTCCTCTGTGATCGGGAGGGGAATTGAGGACAGTGGCCGTGCAGTGCCACACTCGTGAGCTCCTTGAGTCCATCTCCTACTCAGCCATCGGGATTGAGGCATGTTCCCTTCACCTCAACAAGAAAATCCTTCCTGTTCTCGAAGGTTCTGTCTGTTATTCCTACCAGGAAAGACTCTTCAGTACACATGATAAGCACTTGACTCAACAGTCTTCAGCTTTCAAAAAGAAAAAAAAATAGCTTATATAACACAGCTTCAGAGCTCGCTGCATCCAGGAGTTCAGTGAGTGTGGAAATCTGAGTTACTTCATCTGTCACCTCTGCTTTATTCCATGTTGGCGCCATTCTCTAACTGGCTCCCCCTCCCCCCCAAGAAAAAAAAGGACCACCACAAGTTCTGGGTGTACATTCCACCAGCATAAGAACCCCAGACAAGATGGGTGCCTTTTCCGGTGGCGACATAGGCCCCAGGCCCAGCTGACTCTCATCAGTCTGAGTTAGGTCACCTACCCAAAGGACAGTTGAGGTGGTGTCACCAGAAGAAAGGGGTATGTATGTGTGCTGGGGAGGCAGGAAAACAGGTTCTACTATAGAGATATTTACAGCTATCTATAGCTTTTGGTATAACCAGACAATATCCTTGTACACTATTTTGTATGGCTAATAGACTTCTATTACTTTCAGGAGGAATCTTCTTCTATTCTCTGTCTCCCTTCTGCCCCCCAAATTCCAGCCTGTTCACTTGAGAAAAGAAAGCCAGTGTCGAACCTCTGGCATGCCCTGCATACCCCAGATTGGCAAGGTAGCCATCCTCCCTCATGCTCATGTATGGGTGTTGCTCTTCCCTCGCCTGCCCACTAAGAATCTCACTCAGTAGGGGGTTTCAGGACTTGGTTTCGTGACTTGAAATAGTTCCCCATATGGTGGTCCCACTATGCAAGCATCAAAATGCAATAGCTTGCCACAGACAATTCTATCTGTATAGAAGCTTGACCTGCTTATTAACAAGATGACTTCTCCAAAACACATGATCACTGGCAATTGTTACCATGTTTCCATCTTTCTTCTCAGTAGAGGGATCTAGTCCAAGTTCCCTTCGACATCTAGCGTCCCTGTCTGGTCCCCAGTGGCTAGCTCCCCTGTGGGGTTCTGGGGCATGCCACTCGGACCGTCTCCTGGATATTGGGTGGTGGAGGGCACAAGATGAAACTAAAGCCATAGCATAAACTATGTGCAAGAATGGTGGATGCCAAAATACAAATCCCGCCGGGAGCAATACATCTCACTTGTAGGTAGATAATGTTATGCGTTGTCCTTCAGAATTATCACTTGGTGGGTGCATGTCAGGAAGATGTACCTAAAGCAGGCTTTTTTAAAAAAAGTATTTGGAGGTGGATGATAGTGCATAAGAAAGCACAATTAGCTCTGGACGAGTGGCTCAGTTGATTGGAGTGTCGTACCGTACGTACACTGAAAGGTCATGGGTTCAATTCTCAGTTGTACAGGAGGCAACCGATTGATCTTTCTCTCTCATATCCATGTTGCTCTCTCTTTCTCTCCCCGCTTCCTCTCTCTTTCTAAAATCTGTAAACATATCCTCAGGTGAGGGTTTAAAAAAAGAAGAAGAAAGCACAATTGAATTGAGGTTATTCAGAAATTAGAAAGACAGAAAGGGTAATGAGAGAGAGAGAGA